CCGGCAGTTTGTTTTGTTTTCACGTTACACCTGATCCTGTGTCGTGATTGGTTTAAAATCACGTGTCCGCGGACATTGTATGCGGTTGATATGTATAATATTTATTAATTTGATATCATTTTATATAAAGGTTTAATTACGTACAAGCTAATGACGTATTTTATCATGTGGAAGGTCATGGTATTATTATTACTTATCCTCTCATCTCTCAATATTTGGGGGTATTATTCAATCTAGGCCGGCTTTCTTGAATAGTACCCGGGGTACTATATGCAGCGCTATACGGTAATTAATAATCATTATGTAAACAGTATTTTTTTTTTTTTACGTAACTTAATGCATACTATAATAATCTTCATAAATAAATAGTGTTTTTTTATTTATTTTACTTTTTACAGTACATAGGACGTTTAAAAACTTTAAAACTTGTAATCCATTTAATTGAACTTCTTTTGAAAATTAATTCACTTGCTTAAGAATAAAATGTCTGATTCCAATAAAGAAAAGAAAGATTCTAAAAGAAGCATTGTTAGTCGATATAAAAATCATGATGAATTAGATATAAATGATGTGTCTTCAATATTATTGGACCAGTATAAAATTATTGGTGGAAGGAAATCCTTAAATACTCATGAAGGGACTTACGTTATTCCATCAGATGAACTGGAGCTTAGACGACTGGAAGTCGCTCATGTGTTAAACAGATATGCGTGGAAAGGAAATTTTAGCGCACCAGTTGAAGAAAAGCTAAAAACTGGTAAATCTACTCCAAAATAATCGATCATGTCTATAATTTTAAGTTTAAAAAATCTGGGCTTTGAATGCTTAATTTTTTTTTTGATGGAATTGTACTTATTGGTTTAAGATTATTGAATGCTCATGATTATATTCGAATCTTTAATAAATGTGTAACTTTAAATCAGGCCCATTTTTCATAAATGCAATTTGGTTCTAATTATTACATTTTTTATATATAGATAATCATAACTTTTAAAATTCAATAACATCGTCATCTGAATTTGAGTCAAGTTGTAAGACATTAATGGTGCTGCATTATATATATTATGAATTTCATGAATCCAAGGCATATAAATAATTTTAAAAAAGTACAATCGCTTGAAAAATAAATTCTAAAAAATAAAATAATGAAATTTTGAACGACTGCATTCTTAACTATCCTAATTCTCGTAAGATTTATTTTTGCATAAATTAAACATAATTTGAAATATCATAGTCAGAAAGATACAAACCTTGAGTAGACGTGTTCTGTCTACTTGAATTTAATGCATCGTTTATCTTTATGTTAATTGGTTTGCTCGTATACATATGACTCGGATGAATTGATGATTTGACTTTTGGTATTATTTTATCGGCTTCAAAAAATTGTTTTTTGATTTCGTTATCATTATCCAGTTCTATCACATCAAGCCAATAAATAATATTTGAGCTGATGACGGTAGCTGCCGGTCTTTTATTTTGATCTGAATCCATGCATCTCTTGCCAATTGTACATAGCATTCTGGGGTTCTTTCACCAAATTCTGGTCGTTCATTTTCATTACAAATTTTTGAAGAAAGTTCAGTATCAAATGGAACGCCATCAAATGCTTTTTTTCCAGAAGATATTTCGGTCATAATAACTCCGAAAGAGTATATATCAGCCACTTGCGTAAATTGTTGACCCATTAAGACCTCAGGTGTTACGTATGGCATGACACCATGAATTTTACCATCCTGTTTAATGTTAGATGTAGGGATGGGAAATTTTGGTATAATTAAAAAAATTTTGGTATAATAACCTTATGTTTTATAGTATTATTATACCGATATTATACCAATTATACCAATTTTGCCCATCCTTAGTTAGATGATGTTGAAAGACCCAAGTCTGTGATATACGCATTATGTAAAAGATCTTGCAAGATATTTCCAGAGTGCAAATCTCTATGAATTAATTCCTGAGAATGAATCGATTCAAGATCCGAAGCTATACAACACAACAGATTTGACCTTTTTTTCCAATCCATTTTCACAACTTTAGAAAGGTTTTCACGCAATGATCCTTCCTTTGCATATTCTAAAACTATAATATAATCTTTTGAATCTGGATCTCTTGACACTCCGTAGCATTTTAAAAACAATGGGTTTTCGTATCCAATGTCACAATACCTTATCAGCTATTTTGTATTTAATAATTGAATCATTTAAATTAAATGACTTAAAATGATAAAATAAAAATAAATACAAAAAATTTAATTAATATTACCTCGTCAAAAAATTCTTGACTACATTTATTTGAATTATAAATTACTTTTAGTGCAACATTCATCCATGAATTTTCATTTTTATCAAGCCATTCTGCAAAATATACAGCTGCGAATCCACCTTTTCCAATTTCTCTTACGTTTTTAAATTCGTTATAAGGAATCCACGATAGTTTATACTTTTCATCATTTATAATTTTCTTTAATTCGTCATAATCTAAGCCATCGTGTAATATTTGTATGTTTATCTTTACCAGGAACGAATGTAATGAGTGTATGGTTTATACGCTGTTTGGAGTGGGATTTGTCCGCAAAATCTTAAGTTT